AGAAATACCATACTAATTATTATCAAGTACAATTTTTTTAGTACACGATTTGATAAGTATTAAAATTGAAATTAAAATATGTTAAATATAAATTAATTAAATTAAACTACGGATTCAAAAAGCCCATTTTAATGTTTAAAAATTAGAGCTGCCAGAAAACATGCATGGTTGTCCATGTGAAAGTACATATCATGTGTTTGGTTAATATATATATATATATATATATTATTTAATTCATCTTAATTCTGTTTATAATTGATGTGATAGAAGGAATATAACAAATTTCCCACTTCTCTCATCAACAATTTTTTTTTTTTTTTTGAAGTAGAGATCATAAATTGAAACAATAAATAGCTTCCACTGAATAATTGCAAATACATTTGGTGTTTAAATGTAATTTGCTTGAAGGCAATGTATAAAAACTGAACATTATTCAAACTTCAATCCAACTTGATCATAAAGTAAAATACACAATTCATGAACATGGGTTTTGTCAACAAATTTCAAAGCTAGAACTTTCAAAACCTAAGTGGGCTATCATTAAATTATTTTAAGAATTAGAGCTGACTAGGACTATCTTTCGAAAGTAACATCCAAATCAGAGGGAGCCAGACAGTCAAAGTCCAGAAGCAAACTGTCAATCTTGGTCGGTAGCCAAATCAGAGGGAGCCAGAGAATCAAAGCCCATGAGCAAACAGTCACTTTTGGTGGGGTCTCAGACAGTGAATCAAACCAAACTTTTTTGTTGTATGGGGCGGCAAATCTATGTTAAATTAACGCTCACTGAACTCCCTCATTTCATCCCATATATACCCCTACTCCACTTCGCCATACATCACAACAAAAAATTCTCTCATCTCTTTCACAGAGGAAAAAAAGGGTTCTCCTCCGATCCAAGCTTCCATCTTTTTTTTGATTACTTTGTCATTGAATTTTCTAAGCACTAAGAGGCTATGGCCAAGGACATTGAGGTTGGGGGTGAGTTCCAAGCCAAGGATTACCATGATCCTCCACCAGCTCCGTTGGTCGACCCGGAGGAGTTGACAAAGTGGTCCTTTTACAGGGCTGTAATAGCTGAGTTTATTGCAACGCTCTTGTTTTTGTACATCACTGTGTTGACAGTGATCGGATACAAGAGCCAGGTTGATACTGCTAAGGGGGGTGAGGATTGTGGTGGTGTTGGCATTCTTGGCATTGCTTGGGCTTTTGGTGGCATGATCTTTATCCTTGTTTACTGCACTGCTGGTATCTCAGGTAAGTTCTAACTCTCCTTCTCTCTTTTCCTCTAAATAATGATATATGTAGTTATATTTTTGCATGGGTAATTGTTGATCATGTCTTACTACTTGGATCCAAAGGGTATTTTCCTAACAAGTTAGTAAAGATGTTGCTCAATTTTTTCCTCGAAAATTGAAGTATGAACATTTCTTTAGAGAAAAGTTCATCAGCAATGTTATAGTCTAATAAACAAAAAAAAAAAAGAAAAAAGGAAACGTTTTCCAGTTGTTTTGGTTATTAATTATGACTGACAAGTGACATCTCTATAATTAATGTAATACTAGTGATATTGTTAAAGCCAAAAGAAACTGTTTTGATAGCCAAAAGAAACTGTTTTATCATTTTCCAAATTAGTTTTCCAAGAACATCATCCTACTGAAGTAGAATCTGGTTGGAGAAGATTTTATATTTTGAGAAGCAAAAGTGTCAAAAAATTACAATAAGAAAAAGGTTAAAACTGGATGATTTAGCAGATGACTAACAGTTTAGATCAAATATGCAGGGGGACACATCAACCCAGCAGTAACCTTTGGGCTTTTCCTGGCTCGGAAGGTGTCTTTGGTCAGAGCCATATTTTACATGGCTGCTCAATGTTTGGGAGCCATCTGTGGATGTGGGCTGGTGAAGGCTTTACAAAAATCTTACTACAACCAGTATGGAGGAGGAGCCAACAGCCTTGCTGATGGATACAGCACTGGAACTGGTTTGGCAGCTGAAATTATTGGCACATTTGTTCTTGTCTACACTGTTTTCTCTGCAACTGATCCCAAGAGGAATGCAAGAGATTCCCATGTTCCTGTATTTCTCTAATTCGACCAACTCCATACCTTTTTTTCCCCCCTTTTTATCTCTCAATTATGCAGTAAATTTCTTAAAATTCTCAATTTTGTTTTGATCACAAAATTCATTCACAGTATGTCTTAGGTAGGTACTAATTTTTCTATATTCTAATTTAAGGTCTTGGCACCACTTCCCATTGGATTTGCTGTGTTCATGGTTCATTTGGCAACTATTCCGATCACTGGCACCGGTATCAACCCTGCTCGCAGTTTTGGAGCTGCTGTTATCTACAACCAGGACAAGCCATGGGATGACCAAGTATGAACCTTCACTTTTGCAATTGATTCTAATTTTGCCTTTGTTTTATGACACCTTTGTAAGTATTGATGCTTATGCAACATTTGTTCTGTTCGAATTTTCGCAGTGGATATTCTGGGTTGGACCATTCATTGGCGCTGCTATTGCTGCAATCTATCACCAGTATATCCTGAGGGCAGCTGCTGCTAAAGCTCTTGGATCCTTCAGGAGCAGCTCTGCCATATAAAAAAAAATGAAGCAATAATTCTCCAACCACAAGTTAAAAAAAAATTGCCATGGAGGAATGAATTAAGCTTTATCTATGTGGTTAAGAGGTTTTTCAGACCATTGAATTTGTAAATTTTAATGCAAGGCGTCATGCTTCATTGTATCTGGCACTTATTTTTAACGTGCCCCATGTGTTGTCATCATCCCTGTTTTTCTTTCCTTTCCTTTCTGTCTTTTTGGTATTGTCTTGGTGTCTATGTTGTCGTTGAAAATTTTATAAAATCAAGTACTTTATGTTGCTTTATTTAAATGAGTTCAATTCAATATCTATCCTTTTTTTTTTTAATTTTTAATTTTTAAATCTAGATAGAAAAAGACTTGGGTGGCCTATAAATGTGGTAAAATCGGAAAATTTATCCATTTAAATGCAACAGCATCAAAACCAGGAAAACAAGGGGTTGGATGTGGTAACAAGTGGATCGGACATTAGTCCTGTCCTGTCGATGGTTTCAAGCTGTCAAGTCGGTGGCAACCGCTGAAAAAGAACTTTAAACTGGGAGTCTTGATCTTCGAAGCAATTTAAGTACATAAATCGTATAGTATTGTAATACCCCTCCCAAAATCATTGTGATGATATTTTTATTTTGTAAAATTATTATTTTATTTTATTGTGCTTCTATTGTTTTATTTTGGTATATTATTGGATGAAATTGCTTGAGGGATTAAATTTTATAAATTTATTTTGGAAAGGACTAATTTGAAAAATAAAAGTTTTGAGGGGTCAAAATCTAATTTTCAAAAATTAGTTTGATATATATTATATTATACTATATTATCTATAAATTGTCTTTCCCTCTTGAAATAAACAAAAAAAACAAAAAAAACAAAAAAAAAAGAAAAACATGAAGGAAAAAAAACTCAAGGAGACGGAGTTGCTGCCATTTCCAATGGAGATTTCAAACTTGGGGTTTTAGAAGATTAAATACAATCTTTTCAAACTTTTTTATTTTGAATAATTTTCCTATAAATTTAAAATTTAGTTTTAATCTTCTTAATTTTTTGGCAACCTTTCTGTGGTTTATAGGAGGCATATTTGGTACCTATGAAAGGACTCTTAAAGATCTTTTCAATGAACTTTGTAGCTTCTCATTTGGTTGTGTATTTAGAAGTAATAAATTTTTAAAGTTGAAACAAATGGGTATTTGATAGTGTTGATGATCCCAATTTGGGTCACTGTAAATTCACTTTTTGAAAGTTATTTAGGTTGAAACTTAGGCGCTAATTAAAGTAGGAAGTGTCCTTTTTAATGTTATGGTAATGGTTCGTTTAGGGGTTCTTTAAGAATGAAGAATCGAGACTCCAAAATCAATTTCATGAAACTAAAAACCCAAAAAATCTGGGTATGCATTGATTGTTTTCAATTTTTTTCCTCTAAAATTCTTGATTTTGGTACCATTTTGGTTAAAACAAAATTCTGCATTATAGTACTACATGCATACTTGAAAATTGTCTTTTTGATCCATCACTAAAGTTGATTTGATTGGAGTTGGGAGATAATTTGTTTCAAAGTAAGCCCCAAGGATCATAAAATTATGAAAGATCAAAATTTGAGAAAAATTCATTTCAATTCTTTTTTAAAAGTTATTTTTGGTCAACTTTGATTCATTTTCATTAGAAATAGCATGAATTTCAGTTACATGATTTTAGTCAAATTTTATTTATTATAAAACTATTTTTGTTAAATTATTTTTATGTTGGTAGCCTTAAGGAACCCCATTTAAATAAATTCAAATTTTGCAATAAGTCCTTCAAATAAATACAAAGATAATGATTTTTTTTCCAACTTTAATTTTTAGTTTTCTTTATTTTGGATATTTTCCATATTATTAGAAAATATAGTTTTAATAAAGAAATATATATTCAAATAGTTCCAGTTTGTAAAGGAATTGCCACATGCCTTTGATACCTTGGAAAGTTGTACCTTGTTAAGTTATTATTTTGTTAAATTCTAATTTTGAAATACTTCTTGAATTATTAAGCTATTAAGAGATTTGAGTAAATTGCTGGTCTCAGTATCGATTTCACAATCAAGAAAGTGATTTGATATCTCTTCAGTTTTTCATTCTCTAAAAATCAGTTTTAGTATGTCTAGAGTTTATATATATAATGTATATTGTTTTATTCATTTGTTTTGTAAATTGGGTTGAGTATGCAAAATGTATATATATATATATATATATATGATTTCTTTGTTGTAAATTTGGATATGATTTTGTTATTTCTTTGATCTCTAAATATGATTTCATAATAATATATTGATATATCTATTGATTTTTCGAATGCAAAATTTTGCTTTGGAATGATATACAAAATTTATTATGTACGAATTATGTTATGAAAAGTATATGAATATTGATTTTGTCTACGTTGGGTAATCTGAAAATATGTTTTAGTTTTTATCTCTTAGTATGATTATGTTTTGGAGATCAATTCTTGACTATGTCAACATGTGCTTTGTGATTTAAAAACCAGTTTCGAACTATGTCATCGGTTGAGAATAGTGATTTTTGTTTACTGTGTCATTAGTAATATACTTCTGTCCCATTACACTAAAAGAAAAATTGTGATTTGTTCAGTACAATGATCTAGTTGCTTCTGATATACTTGTGTCTTATTGTACTAAAAGGGTAGTTTTGATTTTTAACCTATACCACAGGGGTTAAGTGTTACAAGAGACTAATAAAACTTATAATTTTATGATATCTTGTTTCAGTTATTTGAGAATTTGATTTTGAGAATATGGTTTATTAGAAATATGTCTTTGAATACAAGATTACCTAACAATATTTTTGAATCATACAAATGATATTTTGGCCTAAATGTTTTGTAACATATTTAATCCTATTGAGGGGATATCGGTTACTGGCTGAGTTGTCGTACTCATTCCTTTAATTTTTTTTACTTTTTAGATTTTGATATTTGCATCTTCGAGACTTAGTTTTGACAAGAAATTATGTTGCATGACTTCATTTATCCTTTGTCATCATATAACTGGTAATGTGAATACTTTGATATAATAAAATTAGAATATTGTTGTATTTTTTGATCAAGTGGAATAAGTGCATTTCAGAGACTTGATTTTGAAAACTATAATTTTTGAAGACCTTTTGGAGTTTGATTTTGAATTAGTATAGTATTTTGGAGTTTGATTAGTATAATATCAAGAATGTTACATGCTTGTGAGATTAGTTTCATGAATATGCGGCGCTGTTACGTACTAAATTTTCAGATTTAGTGCGTGAAAAAAAATGGAAATGGTTTAATTCTGACAACTCCTGTCAAGGTGAAGGACTTTACCGAGGTACATGAGCATGAGAAGGAGATTGTTCAATTCATGTATGTGGACTTAACTTCTAAATGAATCAAGTTTATCTATTTCCAGCTTCTCATGAGGACTTTCAACTGTCTTATTTCAAGAAATGGAGCAAGAGCACAGCTCTAGGTGGCTCCACCAAAGATAAACTTCAAAAAAGAAAAAGAAAAAAAAGTTAATGTTCAATGCCAGATTCAACAGGTAAAAAAAAATTCAGGGAGTGATGGGAGTAATGCTAATACATTTGGTGTTTCAACGTAATTTGCTTGAACGCATTGTATAAAAGTTGATCATGATTCAAACTTCATACCCCACTGGATCATAAAGTAAAATACATAATTCAAGAACATGGCTTTTGTCAACTAATTTCAAAGCTAGAACTTTCAAAACCTAAATGGGCTATAATTATTATTATTTTTTCTTAAGGAATTAGAACTGACGGGAACCGTCTTCCAAACTAGTAGCCAAATCACAGGAGCCAGAGAAATGAAATCCAGGAGCAAATACTCGGTCATTCTTGGTGGGGTCTTAGACAGTGAAACAAACCCTACTTTTTGGTAATAAGGGGCGGCAAAGCTGTGTTAAATTAGCACTCGTTTAACTCCCCCATTTCACCCCTATATCCCCCTACTCTACTTCATACTTCCCATGATGCAAAAAATTCTTCACATCTTTTTCACAAAGAAAAAAAAAAGAGTTCTCCTCCAAGCTTCTATTTCTTTTTTGACTACATTTTTCATTGAATTATCTTAGCACAAAGAAGCTATGGCTAAAGACATTGAGGTTGGTGGTGAGTTCCAAGCAAAGGACTACCATGATCCTCCAGCAGCTCCATTGGTAGACACGGAGGAGTTGACAAAGTGGTCTTCTTACAGGGCTATAATAGCTGAGTTTCCTGTCACGCTCTTGTTTTTGTACATCACTGTGTTGGCGGTGGTCGGATACAAGACCAAGACTGATCCTGGTAATGACGGTGAGTATTGGGTTGCCGTTCTAGGAATTGCTTGGGCTTTTGGTGGCATGATCTTTATCCTTGTTTACTGCACTGCAGGTATCTCAGGTAAGTTCTAACTCTCTTTCTCTCTTTTCCTCTAGTGATAATAATGATATATTCAGTTATATTTGGGCACGAGTAATTGTTGAATGTGTCTTACTACTTGGATCAAACGGGTCTTTTCCTAACACGTTAGTAAATCTTTTCAAAGAATGGTTCATGATGGTTTTCCTCAAAAACTGAAATGTAGACATTTCTTTTGAGAAAAGTTCATCAGTCATGTTATAGGCTTACAGAAAAAAATCGAAACTTTTCGGTCGTTTTGATTCTTAATTTTTTTAAAGGCAGAAGAAACTGTTTTGAAAGCTTAGCCAAAGCAGATCATTTCCCAAATTAGTTCTCCAAGAACATGATCCTACTGAAGTAAAATTTGGTTGGAAAAGGTCTCATATTTTCAGAAGCAAAAAATGTCAAAAACTTACAATAAGGTAAAAACTGGATGATTTGGCAGATGACTAACAGTTTAGATGTAATATGCAGGGGGAAACCGGACACATCAACCCAGCAGTAACCTTTGGGCTTATACTGGCTCGGAAGGTGTTCTTGGTCCGAGCCATATTTTACATGGCTGCTCAACGTTTCGGTGCCATCTGTGGATGTGGGCTAGTAAAGGTTTTGCAAAAGTCTCGCTACAACCAGTACGGAGGAGGAACCAACGTCCTCTTTGACGGCAACGGTAGCACAGGAACTGGTTTGGCAGCTGAAATTATCGGCACATTTGTTCTTGTCTACACTGTTTTCTCTACAACTGGTCCCAAGAGGAACTCAAGAGATTCCCATGTTCCTGCATGTCTCTAATTCAACCAACTCTGCACCTTTTTTTTCCCCATTTTATTTCTAAGTTAGGCAGCAAATTTTTTAATTCTAAATTTTGGTTTGATCACAAAATTCATTGAAAGTATTTCTTAGGTACTAATTTTCTGTATTGTAATTTAAGGTCTTGGCACCGCTTCCCAATGGATTTACTGTGTTCATGTTTCACTTGGTAACTATTCCGATCACTGGCACAGGTATCAACCCTTCTCGCAGTTTTGGAGCTGCTGTTATCTACAACCAGAACATACCATGGGATGACCAACTATGGACCTTCACCTGTACAATTGATTTTAATTTTGCCTTGTTTTTTGAAACCTTTACAAGTATTGGTGCTTATGCAATATTTGTTCTGTTTGAATTTTTGCAGTGGATTTTCTTGGTTGGACCATTCATTGGTGCTACCGTCGCTGCAATCTATCACCGGTATATCCTGAGGGCAGCTGCTGCTAAGGCTTTTGTTTCCTTCAAGAGCAGCTCTGCCATTAAAAAAAATGAAGCAATAATTCTCCAACCACAAGTTAAAAAGAAAAAAAAAAGGATTGCCATGGAGGAATGAATTAAGTTTTATCTATGTGGTCAAGAGGCTTTTTCAGGCCCTCGAATTTGTAAATTTTAATGGAAGGTGTCATGCTTCTTTGTATTTGGCACTTATTTTTTAATGTACCCAAGTGTTGTCATCATCCCTTTTTTTTCTTTCCTTTCTTTTCCTCTCTGCCTTTTTGCTTTTGTTTCGGTGTCTCTATGTTGACATTGAAAATTTTATAAAATCAATTATTTTTATGTTGCTTTATTTAAATGTGTTCGATTCAATCTCTATCCTTTTTTTTTTCTTTTTTTAAATCTGGATAGAAAATGACTCGGAAGGCCTATAAATGTGGTAAAATTGGCAAATTTATCCATTTAAATGTGAGCTGATCAAAACCAGAAAAACAGGGGCTTGGTCTTCAAAGCATTAGTCCTATCCCGTTCCGTCGATTGTTTCAAGCTGTTAAAGTTGGTGGCAACGACAGAAAAGAACTGTAAACTGGAGTCTTGATCTTCAAAACAATTTAAGTACATAAATCATATAGCGTTGAGAATGGTTTAATTCTGACAACTCCTGTCTTAAGGTGAAGGACTCTACCATGAGGAGGAGATTGTTCAATTTAAGCATGTGGACTTGGACTGCTAAATGAATCAAGTTTACCCGTTTCCAGCATCTCATGAAGACTTTAAACTTAACTATCAAGCAAGGGAGCAAGAGGCACAGCTTTAGGTGCCTCAGGCCATCCACCAAAAATATAAAAAAGAAGGAAAAAGATGATATTACATCCTGAAATCAAGATACAACATAGTATATTATCTTGAACCAAAATTTTAAAGTAATTAGAAACTTTTTTTTTAATCATTCTAAAATTTTTTAATAAACTAATGATCAATTTTTATATATCTAAATGGAAACTAATAAAAATATAAAAACGTTTCATAAGATCTCATTTATCAACAATGTCTTTGACGACTGAATAATTTTTTTCATTTAATTTTTTAACTTTTCACAAGTTATTTACTCATTTGTAAAGAGAAAGTAAAAAAGAAATAAATAAACTACAGCTTAGAAAATATAAACTAATACACTTTACTATATCAAGTATTATTTTTATACATATATATAATTTATTCAAAAATATCATTCAAACTATACTTTCAAAACATTTAAGTAGGCATTCAAAGAATTGATATTATATCAAAACATTTCATGAATTACAAATTATAAATCACGGTTAAATACATACTTTATACAAATCATAGATCAATCTTCAAAATCATAAATTTATTATCATAAATCATCATTATTATTAGTTTATCATTAGCTACGATCACTATTATAACTCGTGACAATGATCATATTAATAATTTCATCTTTATGATAATTGCTAACTATTATAATTTGTTAGTTAAGGCTTTATGCTAACTACTATAATTTGTTAGTTAGGGCCATATGATCATGGCTATGCTAACCATTATTATTATAACCCGTTAGCTAGGACCGTAGAATTAATTATAACATCGATGATCTCACTTTTTAATGATATAAATTTGTAACTATTATAAAATCGTTCTTTAAACATAAATCAATTTTTTATTTAATTCATAAGTATGATTCATCATTTATATAGTAAAATATAAAATAATCATATGTTTGATCTTATTTTAATGTACCAAAAATAAAAAAATAAAATTTTCACTCCTTTAGAAGCATACATACATACATACATGCATATATATATATATGTATTTATATATATAAGCTCAAAAACAAGCACAGAGTTTGAGATTATACTTATCTCTTTTCAATTCCAACACTTAATTTTTCTCCTAAAATAATTAACAATTTATTGAAGGTCATTTTAACATATCATAAATCAATTAATCTTTTTATAAGTTCTTTATATTAAAATAACTAAATTATATAAGAGTTAACTCAATTAACTAGTTCTGACAGCATGAGCTCCTTTTATTAAAATAACTCAAGATATATAACTTAGAATTAAGATCTTTTTAGTGCTTTAGAAACTACTCTTGATAAACTTGCTAACCATATATATGGTCCACCTCTTAGTTCTTTGTAGATTAATTGTAATAATTTTTACGATTCACTTTATATATTGACGCCAGACAATATATATATCTTTTAGTAAATTTTAAATATTTATTCATAAGAGTCTTGGAATTCAATTCCGCCTGCTTCTTTTGAAAGTAGACTCAATAAGCTTTCCAAACATATATGGCTCAATTTGTAATTCATTGAATAAAAATTAAGTGAATTTTCGTAATTTCTCCATATTGATACTGCTAGGCAACCTATACATCTTTAAGTAAAATTTAGACAACCCTTCATAGAAAACTCAAAATTGACTTCCATTTATTTCGTTGAAAATAAATTCAACAAACTTTTCAATAATATATAATACTTATAGTAATAATTTATTCATTAATACAAAATTTCATTTTAACTCATTGTAGTAAATAATAACATTTTATCCAAAAACAAAATTTTAATTTTAATTTTTAAAAACTCAAAATTTCACTTTTGACCTTTAAAATCTACTAAAAAATCATTATTAAATATTAATAACATGAAGTAAATAAAGCCCAATAATTTAAACAAATAGATCATGAAGATTAATAAAAGATTTTATAATTTTTTTTGCATTTTTTTCTTATAAACTTCAACTTCAAATAATAGTAATTAATATAGTATTTTTTTTAAATAAAAAGAGAACATATACTCACTTTTAAAAAATTAATCTCATTATAACCTATAATTTTAATCCTTAACTTGAATTTCAAACTCCCTAACCATAGAAAGATAAGGAAGAAAGCTCTCATTCTTTTTTTATTTCAGGTTAAACAAAAAATGACCAATTTTTTTATAAAATATTTTTGCCCCTTTTTTTAATAATTAATTTTTTAATTAAATAAATGGATTTTGATGATAGTCTAACCCAATTATGAATTGGGCCGGGATATCACGGATGAAAAGTTCACGGTCAATGCCAGATTCAGCAGAAAAAATCAAGGAGTGATTGGGGGATAATCAAATCAGACCAGGCTGCTGTAGCATGTTATTTTCAATATTTGGCATGTGTTAAGTGAGGTAGCTAGCTTTCCTCATTGTCTCATGTCATGGCAACTTGTCTTTCTTGGGAAATTTCTTACAACAAGAACAGGTATTAATGGTATTAGCCCTCATTTATGACAATCATTAAGCTCTGATATTGAGGATTTATTAATGCAAACCTTTTCATGATTTCAGCCAGATAATCTATTCATTTAATACAGAAACAATGTCACCATCGGATCAGCATCAGACAATCTTAAACGAGAATAGAATCCCAATTTCCTCCATTTCGTCATACAAATCCTGTTCTGGACTGAATTTTATATAATGTGGTGTTCCGCAACTTGGAAATTAAAGAGTTTCAGTGCATATCTTAAATTTAGAGCGCTTGTTTGCCTTCGCCCTTCAAAAATATACTCATAGTTTCACAATTTCTCATCTGTTCTGTATACTTTTCCAATAAACTTCCTTTTTCTGAGACTCCAACCATGCCAAATCAAGCCTCCAAAGCATGTCTCTCTTTGTTTATGTTGCTTTCAATGATAGCAAATTATAGTATTTCTGCAAAGCCATCTAAGGAATCTTATGCTCCGGCAGCAGCAGAATCTGAAAACAAATCTGTTTCTCCAGAATCTTTACCTGTTCTTGCCAACCCCGATAGTCCAACTACTGAGGCTGAAACTGAAGCTGAAACCCTGTCTCCAACAAATTTTTCTGTTCCTCCAAGTGCCAACATTCCTGATGTTGAAACCAAATCCGATGAAACACTTTCTCAAGAGAATATTTCCACTCTTTCCGATTCTGATGAACCAACTGATATCCAAACCAAAGGTGAAGAAAATCTCTCTCAAGAGCTTGCATCTTCTCCATCCGTTAATATTGATCCTACTCTTGAAACCAAAGGTGATGAAAATATCTCCACTTCTCTTTCTCCTTCCAATGCTGATAATTCTGTTCCTGACACCGGAGATATGGATGGTCTCTATCAAGAGAATACATCACTTCCTCCTTCGAAGGCAGTTCCTCCAGCTGTTGAAACCAAAGAGAGTACTGAAGATCTTTTCCAAGAGAACACATCTCTTCCTCCTTCTCCAAGCGTGCATGTTCCTGATGTTGAAACCAAAGAAGATGAGAATGTTTCTCAAGAAAATTTATCGTCTGAGGAAACCAAAGGCAACGAGACACTCTCTCAAGAGAATGCATTTGTCCCTTCTTCTCCTCCTTCTCTTGCCCCTGCATATGCTGACACTCCAGTTCTTGAAACCTCAGACAATGGAAGTTTCACTCAAGAGAATCAATCTCCTGTTACCTATGTTAATTCTCCAGCTCCTGAAACAAGGGAGCAAGACATCACCACTCAAGATTATCCATCAGCTACTCCTCCCAACACAGAATCCCAAAATTCTGAAAATTTACCTAAACTTAATGACTACAGCTCTCTACCAAAAATTGCAGTTCCTGGACCTTCAGAGGCACTCTCATTCCCAGAAGCAGACCCCACCATCCAGATGACTCCCTCAAACGATAAAACTTTTGGTTTAGCTCCAACAAGGGAGCAAGACATCACCACTCAAGATTATCCATCAACTACTCCTCCCAACACAGAATCCCAAAATTCGGAAAATTTAACTAAACTTAATGACTACAGCTCTCTACCAAAAATTGCAGTTCCTGGACCTTCAGAGGCACCCTCATTCCCAGAAGCAGACCCCACCATCCAGATGACTCCCTCAAACGATGAAACTTTTGGTTTAGCTCCAACAAGTCATCATACAATCTTGCCATTCAACTACAGGGCCGAAGATGAGCCTGTTGAACCCTATGAGGATGAGGATGATTCTTGGAATGGAGTGCATGGAGCTGTGGCTGGAGTCCTGGTTGGTGCTTGTGTCGTTGGCGTGGGAGGTTTTGCTTACCAGAAGAGGAAGAAAGATAATATTAGAGCACAATACGAGTGCTTGGCCAATAAAGGAGGGGTTTGAATTCAAGCTATCTATTTCAAAATTAACTTCCACAACTCCAAATTTCTAAAGCTTTATCATTTTAGATTTGTGTGTCTTCTATTTCAACCATATACTTGGATGAACGATCTAAACAATATGCAGCTTCTTGTATGCTGAAGTTGGAGAAGAATGCTTCACCACTAGGATTCCTTCAAGATTTGAATTAAGAGGTGGTGATCCCTGTTATGTTTAGTATAATGGGAACCTTGAATGTTCATTTAGTTCATGTTGATTTTGATCATAATTTCAATAAATATGAGATATATAGTTGCCAAGACATTCTTTCTTTGTTCATAGTTCTTATTTGGTTAAAATGTCTATAAAGCCTTTGAAAAAAATTCAATAATCATCCAAGTTTCTATCATTTTATTACAATCAATTAAATTTTTAAATATATTTTTTTCAATTTAACCTTTATTAGATGAAAATTGATTAATTATTAACAATCATTTTTATCTAATCAATGACTCAATTAATGTAAAAATAAATATTTAAAAGTTTAATTGGATGAAAATAAATATTTAAGGATTCAACTAATCTGAATAAAACATTTATGAATTAATTAATTGTAATAAAATATCATAAATTTAAATGATTAGTAAATTTTTATTTGGTATTTTTTTTACTCTTTTGCCTTCTTATTTATGTTTTTAGTTCATTTTATTATAAGCAACAATCCAATAGGCCTGCACTCATTGTGACATTTTTGACAACTCTAAATAGCAGTAATTTTTTTTTTTTTTTTGTTTCTGTTCTTAAGCTCAACAGCCAATTCCTTGTAAAGAGATGAGGAATTCAAATTTGCTAAAGTTAGAATAAGGGGATCTTGAAGAAAAATAAGAAAGAGAAATGTGAAAGGCATCAACCTAAGTAGAGTACCTCTGTTTTTTTCCCCAGAGAAAGGAAATGGAATTTATTAGTGTTACTATTAAAACAAGTTTTACAAGTGTGGCACAATATCCAGAAGAAAGAAGTGTCCAAACCAGAAACAAAGCAAAGATGATTAGAACACCATAAATCAAACAACCAGCTGAATACAACTAGAACAACATTGAGACAAAGATACATACCCAAATCTAACAAGTTAAAACAAGATAAAAAAAAGAGGACTCTGCGGATCCTCCGCATTGACCATCTTCGTCTTCTTTTGGCTCGTGCATTGACCTGAGGCAGATATAGTAGTTTGTCAGAGTTGGTAAAAGCGTTCCAAAAGTTTGATGTGAGAGACGTATAGAAGTGTCACCAATGTCAAGCTCCCATCCTTAGAATTGGTAGAATTGGAAGTATGTATGCCTTTCCTTCAATGGTGTAATTGAGTAGAAAAAAAATTTAATTTATTATGAAAATTAAAAATTTATATGATTATTAAATTATCAAGAGCATTTTTAACTTTTAACTTTTTATTTTTTTGTTATTTATCCAAAAAAGGTTTCGCCGACACTAGACTGACACATGACAAACGACATCGTTTACTAAGTACCCTTTGTAATACTGACAGAGCAACAGCTTTTTCGTCCTTTACATCAGTCAAATAAGCGTGATTCAGTTTTCTACTGAAATCTTCACTCAAAAAAATCTCGACCTTCTTTTAAGGTAACCCGAAATTTCTCCCTTTTACTTGAATTTTTTAGTATATCTTCACTATAATAATTCATATGGGTTTTTAATTTGATCTATGCCTTGCCAAAAGATCAAAACTTTATCTTCTGTTTGTTCATTGGAGAGAATAAAATTCTTTGAAAGATCAAATCAAGAAAGAATAAAAAGAAAGAACGTTTTAAAAGCCTTTTTCAGTTTTAATTCTTATGGTTTTGGTTGGTGGGTTCTTCTTTTATCTCACTTTCATGTCTTTTGTTCCTCTAACTGAATTACTGACAATTTTTTCGAAAGGCCTCTTTGCTATTAGAGGAGAAGATAAGATGTCGATGGGTTTTGATGAAAGATCTTGAATTTATCTTAATCTTTTTCTCGATCTTTAACAACTAAATTTAATTTTTATGTTTTTTCTTGTCAAGATTTGAATCTTAACTGTTACTTTTGATGTTAAGGTTTGCATCTTGCTCAGGACCCTGTTGCAAATGTAGCAATTATTCTTCCATTGAAATCAAGTTTATAGGCCTACAAAGAAAATTTTTAGCAAAAAATCAAATTAGAATTTAGAACTAGACTTTGTGGGAAAATTTGGTCGATCATGTCCATTTCTGTCGAGAACTTAGTATTAATCCCAATAAAGTATAGTTTATAGCTACAAGCTTGCTTCCATTGAGTTTAACGGTGTAATTGGCCTTGTTAGTAGTCGTTTACCTCAACATGATCAACCTGGATTTTTTTTTTTTTTTTTAATTTTCACATCAAGGCTATACCTTGAATTGTGGAGTTTGGATTTAGTTTTACCTGTTGGAATTTATTTATGTCAAATGCTAAAAATACTAAATTCTCTCGACTTCAACATAATTCAATGGTTGTAAGTGAGTTTGTCTTCCTTCTGTTAGGGATCCCATCTGCATTTGCTTTAAATATTGCTATGATATCAATTGTTAGGCAAAAAGCCCCCAATCAATTACACATCCAAGTTAACATAAGCAAAATCAGACAGTCAATCAAACACATAAGAGATACTAATTTAACATGGTTCAATCTAACCGGCATATGTCCATGGATAAAAAAAAAGGATCTACTAGTTGTAGAAAATTATAAACAAACAAATCATCAACACTTGATCCCAAACAATTCAATATTCGTGACCCTTTCATTTTCCTATAGTTTTATGAAGTATTTTTAACCCAAATAAACACATACCTATGTGACTCACTGAACTTATGTGGACCCTTTCATTCTCTTTGAATCCATTTAAACATACACATCCATAAGGATTATCTCAATCTCCTATAGTCTTATGGGATGGCTATCTCATAAAATTATACAACTCTCTTATATTTTTTTCTTATACCCTTGTAGAGACCTCCAATATTTATAAGCCTATTAACTTGCCTGTCAAGAATCTTTTTCATTTTGAAATTTTTCTTTTGCAAGTCTTCTGGTACATCAAGCAATATCTAGTCAACCATATCTCAAATAAATCTCTATTCAAATCTCTTATGGGATTTGAGTGAATCCCAACACCTTCTAGACATGCAATTATACTTTAATAATCAATCTTGTTCTTGAAAGTTAGTTTTGACATTGCAGGAAAGCATGGAAGCCAATAGGGGTCAAGGTGGAATCCAGCAGTTGCTTGCTGCAGAACAAGAAGCTCAACACATTGTCAATGCTGCCAGAAATGGTAACTATTCTATTTGTTGTTTTCAACAGATTTACAGATTGGATTTTTTGAAGTGGTTTGTCTGGATTTATTCTCATAGGTTTATATCTATATTTTTTCATGTGTATGTGAACCATGCCTGCAAGAATTGGTTTGAATATACGAGGCTTTCTTCATATATCCCTAGTCTTTAGAAGGAGGAGAAAGAAAAAAAAAAAAAAAAAAAAGGAAGAAAGATTGTCCTCTTCAAGGCCTTTATAGAAGAGCTGGCTGTGTCTCTTTCTCTCGCTTTATTGTATGTATGCACCTCATCATTTGCATGAATTGTTTTATGTACACGTGTATGCTTTGACATGAATGTACTTGCTTCTGCATGCACGAATTTTGCTCTTCTTAAAGTAGTCTGAGGGATTTATTTTTGTTCGTTATTATAATTTTGAATTTTTAGCTCTAAAGTAATTTCCCTTGGTTCTTTATTTCCTGAATTTCTACCTTTAGCAAAGATGGCTAGGCTGAAACAAGCCAAGGAAGAGGCTGAAAAAGAGATTGCTGAATATCGAGCTCAAGTGGAGAAGGAGTTTCAGAGGAAAGTTGCTGAGGTAAATACTTCTTTTGGGTTAACTAGAGTCAAGCATTCTGATTCTTCTTCTTGTAGCTTGTAAAATCTCTTCATCTATCTCTTCAGATTGATAATGAGGGTTGGAAGCTTTGCTTGTTGATAGCATCAATTCATTCTCTTCAGCTGCTAGGTTTTGAACTATGGAGCTCACTATAGATTTGTTAACTATCTTTTTGATGTCGTCTTGTGGTCATAAAACAGAGCAGTGGAGATTCAGGTGCTAATGTGAAGCGGCTTGAGCAAGAGACAGAAGCAAAGATTCACCACCTGAAACATGAGGCTGCAAGAATATCAGATGATGTTGTCCAAATGCTTCTCAAGCATGTAACCACTGTGAAGAATTAAGCCCCTTGACATGGCAAATATTCAAAGTTTGTTATGCTGTTGTTTCCCCTAGCGTGGTTTATCCCAAGGCCATAGCCTCCTGCATGATGTATTATTTGCCTTCTTGTGTTCATTTAGTTTTAGACTTTGCTTGGCAAACTAGACCCTTTTTATCAGATAAAGCAGTTTGAGAATATGTAGGCCAAATGATTTGCCCAGAGTAAGGCCCTGTTTCTTTTGTAATGGGAGAAAGAGCCATGAAGTTTTACTTTTCAATTTGTTTTTTTATTTCTGAAACTAAATTTCTGAGCCATTAGTAATTGCAGTGTATATAACCAAGACAGTTTGTCTGTGGGGGACAAGGGGAAAAATCAAGGCTTCTGTGGATAACATGCATCCAATAGAAATCAAGCATCAGATTCAGCAAAGATAGATGGCAAAACCGGAAGACCAGATGATTAGGCCTGGCGAGAATGGATAGCTTGCTAGTTCTAATGCCAAGCAACTGTACTGATTGAGAAAGGAAAATAATGAAGAACAAATCTTCATAACCATGGAAGCTTCAATAACTCATTTCCAGGTTAAAATCTGATAGAAAAATGGAAAAATGTTAATTAAACCGATCAGTCAACTAGTGTCGATGGATTCTGCATTTCTGTCATTGCTACAAAGCTTTTTCATAAAGGCATCAGTGCTACATAAAAATATAGCGATTTCTGTTTTATAATCAGAGATAAGTAACATGCATCTCGGGATAAAGGATTTGTAGTGATTGGAGAGACGGCACTTACCAAGAAGTGGGTGTGTATTATGCAATGAGCTTCTGCCTGGTCATGGCCATTTATTCTTATTGTGCACTGAACCAGTGGGTATGCTAGTAATCATTTTCCATTTGCTCAACAATATTTTTCTAATTAGCAATGTCGATTCTTTCGAAGCAAGCAGCATCCAGATCAGCAGGCTGTAACTTGCTTCCTTCTCCATTCGAAGGAGCAATGATCATTATATGAGGATATTTGTAGTTTCCAGGTCAATTTGGCCCATTGGAGCCCAATATAGGCCTTCTTTTTAGCCTACACAAAGGAAAAAGTCATAGTAATTCTTTTGGGTTTTTGGGCATTTGAGATTGCAGAATTAAATCGGGAATTAAAAATCCAGCAATCCATCGACAGTCTGCACGAAAACGCCAGTAATTCAGTAATTATCTTTGCATGAAAAAGGATCATGCCCTTTCTTTCTCCTTGCCTTTCTGCAATAAAGTACATCGAAAACCGAAAACTTGAAGAATGAAAAATAATATTATTTTTAAGATTATAAAATACACATATATATATATATATAAATTTAAAATCCATGAGATATATTTAAAAATAAAGTCCAACCTTATAAATTAACTAATATATATTTTAACAGCCCCTTAAACTGAAAATGATTCGAAATGAAACATTTAGAATTTAAAAACTAAATAACAAAAATATGAATTTAAAAATAGATTTCGTAAAAAGATTTGTCACTTGTGATTCAGAAGAAATATATAATAATATGATGGTGCCTTTGCGTATCTCTTGTATAATAAAATAACAATATATTTCAATATGTTTCGTCCGTTTATGAAAAATATTATTATGAGCAATTTGAATTGCACTCTTACATCACAAAATAGTGGAATAGGAATAAGCATATCAACACTTAAATCTATAAGTAACCGATACAACCACATAATTTCTACTGTAATGTCTGATAAAATTCTATACTTTATTTTAGCACTTGAATGCGTTATAATTATTTGATTTTTTGCTTTTCCAAGATATCAAAGAATCACTCAAAAAAACACAATAACCAGTTATAGAACATCAATCATTAACATCACCAACCCAATCAAAATCACAAGCACGAAGTTTAAGTTTAAAAGTTGATGAGAACAACAAGCCTTTATGTAACGTTCCTTGCAAATATCTCAATGTCCTAAGAACTACAGCAAAGTGAATTGCTCGAGGTGTTGTCATAAATTGGCTTAAACTTAACTGCATGACTAATATCAGGTCTTCTAACTGTCAAATGTATAAGACTACCAACCAACTATTCATATAAAGTAGCATCATTGAGAAGTTCTCTATCAGTAGCTTTCATTTTGACATTTGTTTCAAGAGGAATGTTAACAGTTTTATTATCATATAAGCTAGTTTTAGAAATAAATCAGAAGCATATTTCACTTGAGATGAGACATATCCATGAGAGGAACAATCAACTTCAATTCCCAAAAAATATTGTAATGGACCAAAATCCTTCATCTCAAAGGTTTTGCTAAGACGATTTTTTATATTCTAAATACTAAGGTTATCATATCCAATTATCACCATATCATCAACATAGAAAAGCAAAAATATAATACCTTTTTCAGATTGATGAATAAACAATGCTGAATCATAAGGACTCTACACAAATTCGGAGTTAAGCATAGTAGTGTTGAATTTCTTAATCCAAGCAAGCAGTGCTTGTTAAAGACAATATAAAGCTCATTGAAGCTCGTAAACTTGATTAGTTTGGCAAGACAATCCAAAAAGGGGTTTCATATAAATTTCTTCACGAAGTTCTCCATTCAAGAAAGCATTTTTTACATCCATTTGTGATAAAGCCCATCATCAAATAGAAGCAATAGCTATAAAAGTTTGAATAGAAGTCATTCGAGCTAGAGGAGCAAAGGTTTCTTTATAGTCAATACCATACTCTTGTGTAAATCTTTTTGCAATCAACCTAGCTTTATATCTCTCAATTGACCAATTTGTTTAGTTTTTACCTTGTACATCCACTTACAATCTACTACAGATTTTTTTAAAAATATATCAACAAGATCCCAAGTATGAGTTTTCTCTAATGCATCTAATTCTTCTTTCATAGTTATTTGCCAAAGAGGATTAGAACTTGCTTCATGATAAGATTTAGATTCATAAATAGAAAGAATGGTAGATAAAGAACAATGAAAATCATGATAACGTTTTGAAAGAATTCGCTCATGTGTTGAACGTCTAAGTTCTAAAACATACGGCTTTAATAAATTGGACAATGATGGTGCATGATTGCTTATGGTAGAGTCAGTGATGGGATAAGCTTCTACTGAAAAGTTGGAAAACTTTGGGACACATGAGAAAATCGATTAGAGTCGTTTAAATCAACAAAATGATCAATAAAAGACAAAATACTCATGAGGATCATTGGTAGATCTTTGAAAACGAGGTAATGAAAACATTAAAATATTTTTTTCAAAAAGTAACACGTTGAGAAACATGAAATTTTTGTGCAATAGGATTGTAGCAACAATATCCTCTTTTGTCTAATACCATACCTTAAAAACACACAAATGGTAGTTTTTTTAAGATAATTTATCATACTGAACTTTTGGAAGTGAAATAAAACATGTACAACCAAAAATATAAAGCTCAAAATAATTAGGAGTATTGTTATACAAGAGTTCAAAAGAAGAAATTCCACCAATGATAGAAGAAAGAAATACGATTAATAACATAAACTAAAGTAAGTGCAGTTTCCCCCTAAAGTTCTTAGGAACTAATGAAGACAACAACAAGGCTCTAATGGTTTCCATGATATGATGATGTTTTTTTTCAACAACACTATTTTGCTGTGGTGTATTAGTACAAAATGATTCAAAAAGATTATTTTGAGAAGCAAAAAACTATTTTAAATTACTTGATTGATATTCCCTAGTAAAATCAGCATGAAAACATTTAATAGTTTTATAAAACTATGTTTTGATCATGATAGAAAAATCTTGATAAATTTTAAGTAAATCCGAACGATGTTGAAATAAATAAATCTAAGTGTTTTTCAAATATTCATCAATAAAAATAACATAATAACAAGAACCCCCCATTGTAGGTAAACGAGATGGGCCTCACACATTAAAATAAACAAGAACAAAAAAAGATAAAGAAATTGATTTCACTTTTATTGATGGGTAAAGTAAACTGTTTTGCTAGTTTGCAACTGATACAATTATTAGACGTTTTTTACTTAACATAACCTAACTTGCCATTAGCCATCAAATATTGAAGTTTAGAACAAGAAACATGTGCTAACCTACGATACCAGAAGAAAAAATATAAAAGCTTTTGAACACTAAAAATTAATAAGGATTTTCACACAAAAGGATGATCAAATTGACTAAAAGAACGATGTGACACATGTAAGTTTTTCAAAACAAATAATCTTTCAATTTTACATCCCATCCCAACCACTTTTCCCGTCAAGCAATCCTGCACCACACAATCACAAAAGCAAAAAAGGACATCAAGACCTTGATCACATAATTGACCAACATATAATAAATTCATGAAAAATGATGGAACTAAAAGAACAATATTAAAAGAAACATTATGAGAACATAAGACAGAGCCAATATGAATAGTAGATATATTTGAACTATTAGTAGTATAAATTGAAGGTAAACAAGTAATAAGACTTGAATAGTCAAAGATAGAATTATCAAAAGTCATATGATTAAAAGTTTCAAATCATCATTTCCTTTAGATTGATTAAGGATGCCTCTCCTAGTTTTTTCTGCCATCAATTCTAACAAAACAGCATCAACAGAAAGAAAAAGGGACACGATGTAGAATAAAAGCACGAATGGATTCAAAATCACCTTGAAATGTCATTACGAATTGTGTAAGATGACTTTCTTCTCTGTATCGATAATATAATTCTGCATCAACAGTCCATTTAGGTTCCATAAGAGCTAATATATCCAAAATAATCAACATTTCAGAATGAAAATAAAAAATTGATTGTCCCTTTTTTTGTTTCAAAGTAGCAAAATCCATCTCAAGTTTATATTTTCAAGCAAAATCAGTTTGAGCATAACGTTTTTCAATAAAATCTCAAACCTTCTTAGCAGTGTCAAATTTTCCAAGTTGCATGCTAATTGAAGGAGCAACAGTATAGCAATCGAAGCAATAATTTTGCTACTATTAATCTCCCATTGTTCATAATTAGACACAAAATTTTTCAATTCGTAAATAGCTCTATGACATTTTTTATCACCTATAACATATTTTCAAAGTCTTTTTCCTTTTAAACAATTTCACATTAAATAAGACCAATGAGTGTAGTTTGTCCCATCTAATTTCAGTGTAATAGGTTATGATGATTCCGAGAAAGCCTTGAGAGAAAAATAATTCAAAGCTAATAAATTGATCAATTCATAACTAGTGAAACAAACAAGCCAATTACACAAGTGAACAATCCAAAACCAATAAAAT